ACACAAAATCTCAACAAGTATTTTTGTTAACTTTCTTGTGCAAATATCTAAGTAAAAACTAACTTTCAAGTAAGTTTTTCAGCAAGACGTAGGAACTTGCCTTAAGTCAATAATTCTTGAATATTGATGAAAAAGTTCTAGTTTGACTGGCAGTTTATTTCACAAACAACATAATATTTTCCCAGTGTAATAAAGGAAATAATCGGCCAGTGGAACTTGCATTTCTCATCAATATTCAAGAATAATTGACTTAAAACAAGCTGCTACATCTTGCTGAAAAGTTACTTGTAAGTTAGTTAAGTGCACTAAGATATTTGAAGTAAACACACTTGGTAAGATGATGTGTTTTTGAATAGCAGTTTGATTTAAAGACTATAAAACATTAAATTAGAAGGATGGGCCTGTTTACCTTGCAGAACTCCTCATCCAGTTCCAGGAAAGGCGTCAGGGAGTCGGACGGCATGATTCACTCCACGCTCTTCACCAAGTGAAGCAGCCTGATGTCTGATCCGCAACGGATCAATTTCCAGGAGACTAAACTAGTTTCTGGCAGCTTGGAGGAACTCTGCAGCTTGTTTTGAAGAAGTTTTTTTTGTTCCAGAGGTCTTGACGGGGTTGATTTTTTAAAAAGTTTTCTGGTTCTGGATTGATAAAGCCTCGGTCCGTTGACTGCAGTGCAGTGCAGGAAAGTTCCTCAACCATCTGCTGGAATCTGTTTAAGTAGCTGGGGAAACCCACCCCCTCCTGTCTGAATGCTTCAGGGGGCAGGCGGGGAGTTTGTGTGTTAATGTGCGTTAATGATGTGTGTGTTGGCGGGGGTGGGGTCCTGCATTGTAATTGTGTGCTGGGGGGCAGGGTTGGCACAGCAAGGAGGGAAAGGAGCTGAATAAAGCTACTTTTCTACCCATTCATGACCAAAAAAGAAGAAGAAGAAGCAGCATTCCTCTTTGAACAGGCCGTCCTCCATCTTTGTTTTGGATCGATACAGCTGAAAGGTCAATAACAAGTTCGACTAAACATATTCTCTGCCTTTTGGGAAAAGAAAAACGTAGAAAATGGTATTTAGTTGTGATTAAGAGAGGACGGACATGCAGCTGCGACAAATTGCAACTTAAATTTGAACGTAAATCTTACATTCTCCATTCAAAGGAAGTTTCAGCTGTTGTTTATTTTCTGCAAGAGGAATAAACAACATGAAAACAAAATAAAAGAAGCATCAAAATAATTCAGACCGGGTGCAAAAAACAACCAAAAATAATTATAAATACATAAAATAAACAGTTTTTGAATAACATTGGGTCTTTAACAGAAGTAATTACTACTTGAAGCAACTTCAGTTTGAGAAATAAGTTTAAGTTTTCTTAAAACTTTATATTGGAAAGTTTTGAGACCCCTATTCCTGCTGCCTCAAAATGAAAATTTCCCCCCAAAACAGTCTTTTCAGTCTGATAATAGTTGGAGAAAAGTTGGTTCCCCAAAAGTCCAGACATTTACACTCAAAGCTTGTCCAGAAGAAAGTTCAGATTTCTCTCCAACCCTGACACAAAATCCAATATGGCTGCCATGTCTGTAAACTGTAGTAATATCAGCAGTAATAAAGGTTTATTTACATTTTTGACCATTTCTATGTCATAAACTCCAATGCTGCAGTTAAATATTTGTTGGTGAATGTTTTGTTAGTGTTTTTAATCAATGTTCACGTAAGTGGATCATTGTTAGCTTAATAATATTTATTGCTAATAAGAAATTGATTTGTCATTAACTACAAAATTCTATTAGTTTTCCATCCTGCAACAGAAACATGGTTGAGATGAGTGTGCAATAGTTTCAAGAGCTGGGTTCAACATTAATATAGCACTTTTATTGTCTCAAGCTGACATTATTTGCATTAAAATTTATTTTAACCTAATAACAGATCGAGTGGCTTTACCAGATATTTGTAAAAATAAAATTTAAAAGCAGAAACTTGGGAAAATCAACTGGAATCCATCCTGAAGTCCAAATCCCGACTTGTACATTTCCTCGACAAACACTACCAAGAATCCAACATGGCCGACACTGTCGTAAAGCAGTGACTTCAGCAGGAGGCAACTTCCTACATCTTGCTGAAAATATTGTGCTCTTACTTGTGTAAAATTTTTGGGTTCTCCGCCCACATCTGGTCAGTTTGGGTTCAAAGTTCGTCTTCAAGTTTAGAAATGCCTTCAGGCCAAAATGGGGTTAGTAGGAAAAAAAAACACATCAGCGCTCAACCCAGAAAGGATTTAGCTTTAAAGACGCCTTCAAGGATGGGTGGGAAGCATCTCGTTTTCTCCCAAAGAGCTTTTCTTCAGGCAGTTTTGGGATTTAAAGGAGCAACCAGAGTGAAACTTGAGCGTTAGTCTCTGTTTCTCCTCTGGATGGCAAACATTAGCTGGTAGTTTCTCCTTATGGTTGACTCAAAACCTTTGCTAGTCGCCAATTTAAACATACTTTACTGTCGCTTTACTTTGTGAGCTGAAAAGAAGCTAAACTAACTGGTTTAGTTCCTAAACCAGTTAGATTAGAAGCTAAACAATAAATGAAAACATTTACTGTTAATCTGTTTCTGACAGGCTCTTCATTTAATAACCTGATCTAGCCTAAAACAAACAGCGTTCTCATTTAGAAAAGTAAAAAATAGCCAATCAAGAAATTACTCAAGTGAGTAAAAGAAGTATTTGGTATAAATGTTACTGAAGTAGTGAGTATCTGATCAAAACATCAATCATGTAATACTTCAAAATTACGTCTACAGACAGAACAAAACATGAAGTTATGAGGACTTTTTGGCATTTTAAAGGACTAAAATGACAGAAATTCACATAAGCCACAAAAAAATATAAAAATCAGGCAAAAGAAACATTTTCCCAAATTAGTTTTTAAATATAAAACTTATTCAATGTCTGGTGAACTTAGATCAAATAACTTTGTTCTTCACTGAGTGAAGTTACTCACTTTTACTTGAGTACTGACAAATTTTACTCAAGAGTGGCAATACTTAATAAAGTTACTCAAATAAAAGTAAAAAGTTAAGTGTAGTAAAAACAAGCAAATATAACTGAGAAAGAAAAAGTAGCTACTACTCAACTCTGTATACACTGATCAACTGTCGGTTTGTTTTTACAAAAAGACAACAAAACAGAACAAAAAAAATGTGATCAAAAAAACAAACCAGGAAGAAAATGCTGTCTAATGTTATCAGATCATTTATAACCGACATAATCCGTTGCACAAGGTAAACAACGCTCATCTATGAAGGAGCAAGAAATAACCAATCAAAAGCCACTGAAAGCGCTGCGGGCGAGTCGAAGGGCGAGGCGATGTGTGGCAGGCAGCGTAATTAGTAAGTCGAGTTGTTGTTTGGATTTTAATCGGTATGTTTTGCATCCAGTGAAAATAACAAATACACTAGACAACATGCTGGCAACTTAGTTACATTTCCACAGTTGTGGTCTTAACTGGAATAAAATCCCGAGTCCATCAGAAAGTGTTCTTGAGACTAGGATCGGTCTGATCGATGAAAACCTCACACAGACTCTGAAAAGGCCGTTCATGATTGGGCTTCATCCAGTGAGGATTCATCTCATTATTTTATTCTACCTTCAAAATATCAGAAATATCAGGTAGTCCATCAAACACTACTTTTATATTTGTTTGGATCCAACATAAAGCTAAGCTGAAATATGGAAAGAAACAAAAATATTTTTTTAAAAAGATAATATTTGTTCAAGTAGGTGAGAATATTAAACTCTGTAAAACTAATAAATTGGTGAGACTGGAAGGATGTTGGTCAAGATGCCGACCACAGAAAATTAAAATTAAAAGTCCTTGTTTTGGTTTTATTTAGAGAAAAAAGACACACAAAGAGGATTAAACAAATAAAACAACTGTACAACTTTAGTATACAATCATAACAATGCAACGTGTTTATTTGGTCCACAATAGAGGAAGATCAAAATTGAAAAACATTCATATCTTCACCCACAGACAGAAGAACGATTTCAGTTCTTTTAAACTACAAACATTTTGCCAGATTTTTACACCTAAAAGCAAAGATTTGTGTGTTTATTTAAGCGGTGCTTTCTTCCCTTGTGGTTTATGTGTCTCATCTTGGGATTGTTTATGACTGTACAAACTGACCGTTTAGAGGCAAACTGTAAAAGTGCCTTATCACAACGCCTCACTGATACGCTGCGCTGCTGTTGAGCGTGCGTTTGCGTGTCTCAGGTTAAAAACTGTAATGCAGTACAGCTTCCTCCCTGTGGTCGCTTGGTTTTGTAACAGACTTCTCCTTTGTTTCCTTCTTTCTGCCTTTCTTTCCCTTATTTAACTTTTTTCTACTAACCTCATCTGCACTTTCTGCACCCGTGCCAGTCCTCTACCACCACTTCCACCCGCTCAGTTCTTGTATTTGTTCTGATCGATCGGGATAATGAATCAGTTGCCCCCCATCTGATGTTGTGGTCTGCACTGCCAGAGTGACGCAGCAACTGAAACTCTTCTTACATAAACCAGCGTAACTGTTGGCCTGTTTGGGCGGGGGGAGGATTTGAGGACACATTTATTTCTACTTCCAGTATTGGCGCTCTGCTTAGCATACAGGATATAAACATTAACTCAAGTTTTATTACATATTATATATATTTCATTAGTCCAGATTACAAGTTACATTTATTAAATTACATTTACTTGGAAAAAAATTACTTTTAGGAGTTTTATTACTATGCTGTACTTTGAGTAATTTTATTATGAAGTATCTCTACGCTTACTTGAGTAACATTTCTCGATTTTCTGCCAACTGAATGAGAAACAAACATGTTTTAACCAAAAAAAAAAAAAAAAAAAAAAAAAAAAAAAAAAAAACCCCGGCAAAAACACCCCCCCAATTTTTTTTAAAATTTCAAAAATTTTTAAAAAAAAAAAAA